TTATGGTTTGGTAGATAGCAGTATGGTGAAAGCGTCGTTTTTGGGTGTGGTCAGTTTCGGACGTTTCGCCCCGGATTGGGGTTCGGGCAGCGTTACCACGTTGACCGTCATGGTCAACTTGCCCCAAAACAGTTGAGATTATCTGTCCTAAATGAAATGCATACAAACTCATACAGGTCCTAGACTAGTTTAAGATTTTTAAAAATTCACTTACTGTTGGTATGTCACATGAGGGGTTAGATTGTCCAAGTAAATAATTTGCCAGACTGTTGACGTCCACCATGCAAGCATCGCAAAAAACATTGGCATATCTTCTGAGTCTGTATTGCTGATTGGCACTAGAAAACTCGTAAAGGTTAGAAAGTATAGCATCATCCACCAGAAGTTTAAACTTTTACATGTCTCCCGTAAATTCAGTTGCTTGTGCGCGCCACAGATGAAGCCAAGGCAGATGGAAGAAAGGACAGACGTTACAAGCCAACGCAGGATCGACTGTTTCGGATGCGTTACAAGAAACTCCTGCGTGCAATCGAAAATCGAAGTGTTTTCGTATAGAGCGCATTTTGTGTCGTACACAGAAAAGACCGCCAGGACAAACAATGTTGGGATGAAATGAAACAAATATAACACCTACAACGAAATAGATAAACTTTAAAAAATGCACTACTTATATCACTTATTTACTGAGACAGATGGAAACCGAGACTACCGAAGTATGAATAATTCACGGTTATTAGAGCGCCGTAAATGTTTAATAAAAAGTTTTAAAAAATGAACTTTGGAACTTCATGGTTGACGCGCATGCGCATTGCACCCATTCTATTACCAGCTTTTTTGGTTTCGATACGATGCCAGTCCGATACCATTCTCGTCCCCAGAGCCATTTTCACTCGGTCACTCGTTGAAAATTAGGCTCTGGGATAAACGACTAAAGGAAGAGATCTGATTGGCTTCTCAGAGAACTGCTATTTCGCAGAAGTTGAGCAGTTTTCGCTGGGCAAAATTATTCTATCAACATATGTCAACACAAATACTTCGTTTCTTCTTAATACTTCACTGTGAAAATTATTACGGGTGCTAAAGCGCTCCAATTCAAGAGCATGCGCTTTAGAAACTACTGCAAGTTTTCTTGCACTTCCGGTTCCGTGTGTCCCAGGGCCTAGGGAGACCGCACGCGGCCGAGAGGCCCTGTGGACGAGGATGGTCCGATACCATGAATTTTGGTCGATACCGATACCAAAATCGATACCGATACTCATTTTTTCCATTTATTAAAATAACTTTGAAAACAAGAACATTAATGTTTAAAACAAGTCGAAGAATACTCTAACTGGAGTACCTGCCAAATAATTAAACATAGCATTTGCAATTATGATTTTAAATCTAAACACCAATGTTTTCCTCAAATATATTGCTAATTAGCTACATGTTTTTGTTTAAGAACAACATCGTGTCAACATTTTTTGCCTTCAGGGGCCTTCAGTCTGTTGCCTTCATGAAGTATTAAGCGATTGGTCAGGAAACTGACCAAAAACATCGCAGGCTCAAGTGGTTCGAATTACCGATACTTTTTGCGAGTATCGAAAGTATCGATACTTTTGTAAGTATCGATGATTTCGATACTTTTTCGATAGTATCGCCCATCACTATTGTTGACCGGTCAATAAAGGTTTCATTGTTGACCGGTTGGCGGTTGCCTCCTCGCCAGAGCACGCAGTGAACATGACGTTTTGTGGACCGGTACGTGGTATGGTTTTGACCAATCGGCAAACAGAAAAATTAAACTTTGACACTAACTACCAGGTGATCTCGTGTTCGTATTTTAGCCAATCAGCGTTCAGAAAGGGTTGTCCGAATAGAGATCCATTTTGATGTACTCAGTCAATTATATCTTTCTTTATGAAACTAGTTGAAATTTTGTAATTATGTTTGGTTATGAGAACTATAGCTCTGACAAAAATATGGAATCGAAATAAAGTATATTACAGGAGATATACAGTTGTTTTAATCATAAAATGGATTTCTATTTGACAACTAGTGCCAGTACTTTTCCGCGTATCAAGATCATCTGGTATACATGTATAACAAATACATATGTACACACACACATGCATGCATCAGCCGATATATGTACTTATTACTTATTTACTGAGACCGAGGGAAACAGTGTGTTTTGTGGACCCGAGACCGTCGATGTTTCCCAAGGCGAAGCCGAGGGAAACATCGACGGTTGAGGGTCCACAAAACACTGCTTTCCCGAGGTCTCGGTAAATAAGTGTTTTATATATCAATAGTCAAAGAAACAACAAATTAAGGAACAAATGAAACGTAAATACATGAAATATTTTATTGTTAAAACGTTAAATTAAACACTGCAGTTACTTAAGGTAATTCCGCAGTAATTGTTCCCGAAATGAGAATGTGCTGAAACTTCCCAGGCATGGAGTTTTATGATATACTTAAAGTAAAATCGCACAAAAAAGTCTGGGTCACCGAACTCGTTAAGAAGATATGACAATCACAATATACCACCTTTACCCCAATATGGCACCATCTTGACGCTCATTACGAGTAACAGCAAAAT